TGCTCCTCAGCGGAGAGACCACCGTACCGGACCTCACCCTCCACACCGGCAAAGGCACCCCGGTCGTTTGCGATGGTTTTCAGGAAGGTGGAGCAACCAGCACCAGGCCGGCCCAGAACCAGCATCATCTCGCCTTCTCGGACTAGACCGGTGAAATCATGCAGCAGTTCTCGCACCGGAGGCTGTTTCCCAAAGCGCAATTGTGGGATGAAGCTACAGACGATTCTGTACAGATCCGGGCCAAATGTGCCAACAACAGCATCCGGCAAAGTCCGTACAAAGGACGCTCCGGTCTCGACACCTTTCACCGTGAGATTTTTGAAAAGGACACCGACCTTCTTCGCCGGCTCTCCGGTGGTTGTTCTCCGTTCCAGATGACCACCCATCAGGAACTCGTCGAGATCGAATCCGCCGTGGTAACCGTCACCGTCACCGTCGATCGTCGAATCCTCCTCGTCAATTGCCTTCTCTTCATCGGGAACTTGACTGGCTCGCCCGGAGGCCCGGGACCGCAATCGATGAGCATCCTTTCCCACCGACCGCGTTCGTCTCAGGCTCAGTTGGGTCAGTTCCCTCCTCATCTCCTCAAAATCCTCCATGGCGCCACGGCGGGAAACAGGCTCCCCTTGATCCCGCTCTCCCCACCGGCCATCGAGACTCAATTCAGAAGAGGTTGCTGTCACCGATGAGGAGTGTACAGTTTCCGCATCTGGACCGGTGACCTCTGCGTTGTTGTGTTCCATTGTTGTGTTGGTTGCCGATTCTGGCAGACGAGAGCCGTCCGCCATCTCGCTGTTGATGCGTATACTTTCTTGTTGTAAATTATGGAGATGTGGACTAGATTGTGCAGGCTGAAGTATTCGTCTTATATTCAAAGCGGAGCCGACTCAATAGATTCCTCTGTTCGACTAGGACGGACAAAAAGGTCGAAGGTAGGTATGTACAGGAAACCGAAAGAAGGGTTGAAGAAGAAATGATGGGATATTAAAAGAATAAGTGGAATCAATACCGTTTACTGTTCAATTTGGAGAGGAGATACCAGTCCAATGCACCAGGAGTGGAGAGGGTCTAGGAAACACAGCAACGGCACCGAACAACAAAGCGAAAGAGAGACTCGGGGCGTCATTTCGTCGAGATTTATATATCAGTGTTCTCCCAGGGTCCAGATTATTACTAAAGTCTGTTAGCGACATCAATATTCGAAAGAGAAAAAAAAAATTAGTTGATTTGTAAGGCTTGCGCAAAACAGGGTCCACCTAGTGGAAAAGGAGGCAGATAGACTCATGGGGAGTCATGGAAGTAACAGACGGAGATAGCGAATAATCATCGGACGAGAAGTACAGCCGAGTGGTGGACGGGGGGGAGGTTGCGGAAGACAAGGAAAACGTTCAGAAGTTGAAGCAGAAGTGGATCCCGAGTTTCCATCGATTTCGTTCATGCAAACTGCCCAAGTGAATGCCTGGAAGCGTGAATCTTCCTGACTCATGATGAGTTATGCACGGTCCAACATGACTCGTGGCAGTAATCCAGGGATTATGATTGGACAGAAAAAGATTATATAAGCCGATGCAGACGGTTCTGGCAAAACTTCGGAACAGCCCGACTTCTAAGGACCCCACATCTATGCAGCAGCATTTACATACTGCACCTACTATGGAGTAGTTGGTATTAATATTGTCGCACGGATGCTAACAGTAGAAGAAACAATTAGACAGAGCTTCGATTGGAGACTGTAGTATGCATCCGTCATCACGTCAACTACAGAATATTGACTTCTCTGCTCACTGTGGTCTAAACCTAACCTTTCTTAGAGTTGGAGCATTTCATATTTGTTATGTCATCAACCATTGCGACCCACATGAGACGGAGATAAGCAAACGGCGTTAGATTAACATCATGCTTAGAGCTGACGCCACTACTTTTTCCTTTTTCCTTTTTTGGTCTCCGCCCTCTCTAGACCTCTGTGTTTACTATTTAGTGAGACAGATCCATCCTCGTGTCAGCTTTTGAAGGCCTTGGCTCACACGGAAGAGAGAGTTCGGGTCAGCCATTGACGCATTACTAGTCAATCTGCTTTCAGGGCAACGGTGATACCTGGTCGCCGATGATGCGGATTTTCAATACACACTGATCACCATGTGTGCCTAATCAGGGCCATCTAGTCGGGCACCTTCCGTGCGTTTCGAATGTTCGATAAGCTGTATCTATAATGAGGGACGCCTAAATCAGGAACCGTTGTTGACTGATTATCAATCAATCAATCACTTCATTTCAGCCACTTATAAAACTAGCTTGGAGGTGGTGGAGCTGGCCCAAAAGGGAAAATAGGACTGGAATCAACAAAGAAAATACGAATGATGATACAATGCAGAAAGAATTCAGTTGAATAATTGTAATGATTGGATGGTGGAGCTTTAGAAGCGAAACCCTGAAAAGTCGCCGAGATCCATCGGGTATCGGGTCATTGTTTTGTTTTTATTATGTACCATGAACTGCCGAGTCAAGCTGCATCATGCATGGTTCTCTTGAATCATGCATCATTCTTGATCGCTTCCTGACAGTTGATAGGTTACAGTTCATGCAATCTTCTTTAGTTTCCGATATGGTGCACTGACGTGGTAAACCTTTTTTTCTTTTGAGATCCATCATATTTAAGGGCGCCTGTCACCATCATTATTACAAATTATCCACTTTACTCCGCATGCTTACAGATACACCGCTTCATGTAGATACAGAACAACCAGGTCGCAAAAGCCCCTCGAACAGGGCGTCTAAATCTCCCCGAACACCCAATCATCCATCCCCAATAAGGTAGAGTCATAGTTATCAGTCCTGTCTCCATCATCCAAAAAGCTCATTAATAATCACAAAATGGCGCCATCATCTCATCTGCACTGCGGAATTCATTTTCCTCGGTTCCTTGCGCTGCCCGTGGAAATTTACCTAATCCAGCTGCCCGACTGCACTCACTTTCATCAAATAAACATAGTATCTCTGAGATTTAGGCTGCTTTGAAATCAGGCTGCATGCAGGTACTCATGAAACCGCAAACCCCGTGGTCGTCGGCGTAGCGCTATATCACGATACTCATAATAGGATACCACAGATCCATGGATAGTGATACCAAGCCATGCGGATACCTACGGTAGTGTACTTTCTGTCCTTGACCTTGCTTACTTCCTATCAGAGACTTGATATCATGTCTTCATGCAGATATACGGCGAGAACATGCATCGTGCAAAATCGGTATGAGCACACGATGCGCCTGACTGTACTCGGGAGCTGCACAAGCCTGACGCATGTCGCGACACATCAGACACCGGTTTAGCTATCGATGGTTGTACAGATACCGCCGTGCTCAGGAAGGCTGCCATTCTAGATTATCCCATCTCCCACGAGACATTCAACTTAACGCTCTCCATTGAACCTCTTCTTAATGCAGACATAGACCGAGCTCGTAGACTTGATATGTCATATGATGCGTTAATTTTCACTGTGTATTGGCGTGTGATAGTAATTTTTTATGGAAACTATATGGGAGTTGCAAATTGCTAAGATCTACCATATGTATTAACTTTCGTAGTGTAGTGCCCAGGTACTCTTGGGAGATATAGTGACATCATATTCTAAACTTTACAAGAGTATATGTGAATCCAAATACCTCTAGACATAAAGTCTGCTGCAAAACCATAGACAGACAAAGAGTAACCAGAGCGATTCCTTTGGGGTTCTCATGATTATACTATTGAAGTACCCTGACTTTTGACCTCATCTACCTTTTACTACAAGCAGATACCATCAAAGCCAGCTACTCAGTCATAATGGCAGTGAGAGCAGGTAGGCAGAATAGCTATCAGCAACTACTCCATGTCAGTCCTGCAACCAGTGAATACCAGTACTGCGGAGAACAAGATTTTCTTAAAGTCCTTGACAGTGAATATCATGCCCTGGAGGAAGACATGACTGGCTGTAGGAGCCAGTTTATTATCATTTCTAATGTTGACGAGCAAACATTTTCAGAGACTTTTTCTCATCCATGCAAAAAGTTTTTCACCAGTTCATTTTTCGAATATATTCCAGATCTTGCTCTACTTCTTGTCAGGATGACTACAGCAGCTCATGAGCAGGCATACAATGCCCTCCATACTATGATCATTCGCAAGTGTGCGTTTATGAATGGGCTGGACTTGCAGCTACAAGTGATGGGCGAAGTCGCGATTACATCGAACGGGCGCACGAAGAAAGCCGACCAGACATACCGTCCCATAGTCCTTCCGCAACCCCGTTCCGACCACTGGCCTACAGTGGTGATACAATGCGCGTACTCTCAGCCAAGGTCAAAGCTCGCGGATGACGCTCGCTGGTGGTTGTTGGAAGCAGGTGGTGACGTGAAAGCAGCTCTTACCATTTTTGTTCACCAAACAAGAAGAGAAGTCTTTATCGAAAAATGGGAATTAATCCCGCGGGAAACAAGACAGGATCAAAACAAGAAGGTCCCTGAAATAACTCGGCGGGCTGTCATGTCCCAAAAGACAGTCAACGATCCCATTCACGTAACTGGATACCCTCTAACTCTACCCTTCGAGCACTTTTTCCTTCGGCCCGCCAATCCTGGCGAAGGGGACATTGTCCTGGACGAATCGGATCTGAAGACCATCGCGAAATTAATCTGGAACGTGCATTCCAAGGTCTAAGATGCCGGGGACGAAGTTGACGGCATCTTCGAGATCTGCTTGGAAATGCGGAACAGGATCGCCTGAATATCACTATCTTCGCTATGGGATGGGAGCGAGCGACAACTGGAAATGTATTACATTGTGCTTTGAATAGAAGGCAAGAATAGTCTCCAGACAGAGCAGTTCAATATTGGAATGAATCTTAATTCTATGATATCAAGGTCCTCGTTTTACATGATCTATTTTACAAGAGTAGACTTTGGCCTTCTATAGTATTACATAGCATGGCAATGTACGTCAAGCATCACCATACTCCCTCCTGATCTATTTCCGAGTCGACTCAACGTCGAGCCCAGACTTCTCCGCCTTCTGGACCGCGTCTGCAAACAACTCCTTGCATCGTACTTGGCTTCCCAATCTCGCACAGAGCAAGAAGGCTCCGCTGAGCTTGCGATGCAAGCTGTAGGTTTCCTCGGGAGGAGGTGCAAGTCGCTCCCTAATCATAACAGGGATCAAATTCCGGACTCGGTCCGTGATTGTCTGATTCCGGAAATCGTAGACGTCTGGCGAAGAATCCATGAACGGTTCGGCAAGTGTCAAAATCGAAGAAACGTGGGCGTCTACCATGGCCTTTGACTCATGACCAGTCAGGTAGCCCAGTTCGATGGAGAGGCTGTGGCACCTTTCTCGGTCGTTGCGAGAAGCGGCGATAAGTGTTCTGATATATTTCGAGATGAATTCGACAGGGTACTCGCGAGAAGCACCAAAGTCAAGAAGTTCCAGCTTATTGGTCTTCGCATTGTAGAGGAAGTTAGTCCAGTTGGGATCTGTCTGCATAAAGCGGAACTCGGTGATCTCGCGGAGGGATAGGCGTAGAAGCTGCGTGCCGATCCAGTCACGTTGCGCCTGGGTGAAGTCATGGATTTTGGTGACTGCAATGCCTTCCAGACGTTCCATGGTCAGGACTTGCTTTCCTGAAGCCTCCGGGATAATCTCTGGAACCAAGAAAACGGGGTCGTCCTTTACGAGCTCTCTGAAACGGTTGCCGCACTCGGCTTCTCGGATGTAGTCGCATTCCCACGCGAGCTCGGTCCGTGCGTTTGCAATTGTCTTGTCCAGATAAAGACCTCTCGGAAGAAGACGAGATGCCGTCAGAAGGATGGAAAGGTTGTTCAAGTCGGAGTCAATGGAGTCAGCAACACCTGGATACTGGACTTTGACGGCAACTGGCTGGCCGGTCCTCTTGAGCACCGCTCCATGAACTTGTCCAATCGAAGCTGCTGCCATTGGAACTTCATCGAACGTGGAGAAAAGATCCCGCCAGTTGGGCCCAAGGTTATCAGCCAAGACTTTGTCTCGTTGAGAAGCTGGCATATAGTCTGCTCGATCTTGCACTCGCTGCAAAACCTGATGAATAGCCTCTGGAAGCATTTTGTTATCTAAAAAGAATTAGTGTCCATCACAAAGCAATGAATGAGTAACTCCGAGTACCAACCCTGAAAACTCAACATTTGCCCCAGTTTGAGAGCTGCTCCTCGCATTTTTGAGAGTTTGGCCACAAGTCGCTCCATATTTCCAGGACTGAACATTATGGACCCAGCATAGTCTTCTTTGCTCCCAGTCATCCTTCGCAGGCCCTCACCCACGGCTCCAAAGGCCATCGACGTAGCCAGTCCGCTGTATTGCCACAATCGACCTAATCGCGACGACGGGACACGAGATTCAGTCATCTTATACGTATCGCTTTGCTTGAGCTCCGCTGCGATCAGGTGATCTTTCTATCAAAATATCAACATGCGTTTTATGCCATTCTACTCGACTAGGCGACGTACCACGGCAATTTCATCAGCAATGCTGGCCCCAATCTTTTCCATGTCTTCCTTATCAGTTTGCTTGATATTCTCGACAGGAGCCGAGGCCGACCTTCGACTGACCGAACTTTCGGAAAAGCCTTTAGCTCTCCAATCTTGGCTCTTCATATCCGAGGCTGCCTTCTTGGAAAGTATTCTGGCAACCCTGGGACTGTGGAAAATTTCCTTCATCATCTCCTCCGACACATCTTGCTGTTCTGAGGTAGACACTTCCTCGGACACAGGCTTCTCAGTGTTCACAGGCGAGTGGAAGACGTCCGCATTAAGAGAGCTATCCACATTCACCTGCGTGTCATTGATGGTCTTTGGCAGCTTCACTCGAGGAAGCCCCGATAATCCCGGCGTCGACTCTTGAGAACGCTGATAAAAGACATCCTGTTGCTCGCTGACATTCAATGCACTCGAGCCATTGTTCACAGTGTGCTCCGCAGCCGATGACGGGATTTGAAATTCGGCCTGTCGTTGAGCTTTCTTCGCTTCGTCTGGAGAGAGGCCTGAACGGGCTTCCGCATTCGTTGCCTGGGAGGACGCGGGCGTGCTGGTGGGCTGGGTTTTCGGCGCAGCTTCGGAAGGAGAAGGTCCATTGAATCGCTTTGCTAGAGCAGCTGCAGCTTGAGCTGTTAGTATTAAACCCTCAGTCTGTCTCTGGATTCCCTTGGTGAGGGAAGAAGTCCGTGTAAAGGTGTCTAGCTGCCGTTGCCGCAGCGTAAGGTGTTTCGTCGCAACGGATTTCGCGACATTGAATAATTGGATAGCATCCAGAAGACGCTTTCCTGACATAATATCAGATTATCTCGTCAGTAGAAGCTCTAGGTCTAGCGTATTCGCATGATGTAATGCCAGAGGGTAATATCAACGTGCGGGAAAGCGATCAGAAGCTCGCATCGGACCATTATTGCTTACTTGCATCGTTCCTGTCAAATCCGCCTTTTTCTGCCGACATCCACCGCCGGAGACGGGCAACTCCGATGTTCGGACGAGCTTATCAGTGGATTTTGGTATTAAGAGATAAGAAGCGGGCATATTTATGCTTCGGTCGAATGGTATGGAGGAGCTCGTCGCGCAAACATCGTCCTCCTCCTCCTTTTCTCTGTTAACACACTGAGGAATGTCCGAATGAATGGGAAGAACAGTATACAAGCTCTCGAGAAAGAGATTGCAGATCTCGAGTACCGTTTGCGCAATGCCCGCACACGCCTAACATTAGCCCGCCCAGAGGGTGCAAGGGAATTACCCTTCAATGGTCCGTGATAACTACCCTGCGACGGCCATGATTGTCGTACCTGAAGGCTGACATCGAAAATAGACGAACCATACCTTCCACCAAACCATGCATTACTCCTCCTGTCAGATTCCGCCCTCCCACTGGGCTCCTTTGCCTACTCCAGCGGTCTGGAGTCCTACCTAGCCCATAATAAACCCTTGCCTCGCTCGGTGACAACAATCGCATCGTTCCATCACTTCCTCAGATTGTCAATTGCGTCAATCGCAAGCACATCTCTCCCGTATGTCCTCGCAGCCTATAGGAACCCTGAAGACCTAGAGACACTAGACAACGACCTGGACGCCTCGACGCCTTGTATAGTTGCTCAGAGGGCAAGTGTCGCGCAGGGAAGGGCGTTACTTGGTGTCTGGGAGCGATCATTTCGAAGCGCATATGCCTCAAGACCGTCTGTCGGCGGGACGGACGCTGCAAAGGCAGTGCGGATGATTGAGAGCTTCTCCGGTGCTCTCAAATCTTGGGTGGGCAGTGCGGATGAATTAGGGCCGAAAGGCCATCTTGCTCCTCTGTGGGGAGTTGTATGCCTTGCTATGTGTGTCGATCTCCGGCAGACGGCGTATGTTTTCATGCTGAATCATGCCAAAGCAGTTCTCAGTGCTGCAGTTCGCGCATCTGTGATGGGGCCATATCAGGCGCAAAGCGTCCTAGCCAGCAGGGCCCTGCAAGCTATGATTTCAGAACGAATCGACCGAGAATGGGACACCGCAGTAGAGGATGCGGGCCAAATCGTCCCTCCTTTAGACCTCTGGGTAGGGCGGCATGAGCTTCTCTATAGCAGAATATTCAATTCATAATATTCGAGCACCTACATAAAGAACTTGTCTACCACAAGAAAAGTCAGACGACATCATTAAGGCCATGACCCCATGAGCATGGTGCATTCATCATCTCGTCCTAGGTAATCCTACATCTCGCGTCCCTGCTCCCCACCACCGGTGCTACTCGGAACACAGAAGTGGGTATCCAAACAGTCTCTCTTCCTCCTGAAAGAGAGCAAGACATAAGGAAAATGGTGTAAAGAAAAAAGTTGAAGCCGAAGACTGGACAACCACCATGTCCCGCCAGATCGTTATGCAACGGGAAATCTTGCTCGAAAAGCGTAACAGCAAATCAAAACGCCGGCCCCAGTGAGACCCTATCCTGCTAAACCTTGTAGAGCAAAAACACCGCACCATGAACCTTCCATGATTGTGTGAAACAAGAGAGCAAAAGAGAGAAAAAAAAAAAAAAGGGTAATAAAAAGGCTAGGGAGAAAATCGGGAGGACGAGAAGGGCAATAAAAACTATGGTACACGAATGTAAATTTTGAACCGAACCGATGACCAAATCGGAAACTCAACGATTGCTGAGAGGACTCATAGCGTGATATGCATATGATCATTATTTCCGAATGATCTATTGCAATTTGGACACTTTCGAGACCGAGAAGTGAGTCTTTCTTCCACGCATTCTTTGCAGAATACGTGACCGCACGTCTTGATCGCAGTATCCTTGAAATTCCTGCGGCAGACAGTACAAAGTGCAAGACTCTGAAATGGCAATCGATTAGTATCAGTCGCCCTTATCCATGGACCGGAAAGACTTACCCTCAACATCTCATACTCTGATGACGAATTGCCCAAACTCTTGTTTTTCCAATTCTCAAGACTCTTCTTGGTATCGGCAAGGGTGACTTTCAAGCTCTCAATCTCAGTCTCGGCCTTACGACAGGCGCTTGAAGCACTGGCCAATGACGAATCCTTCGACACCGAGAGGGCCTTGAGCTCATTGACCTGGGCTTTGAGGCCGTCGATAACAATGTTATTCTCCGCGATTTGCTGTTGAGCCGCATGATGCTTGCTGACGATCGAATTCAGTGCTTCCTTCGTCTCACTAGCCTGCTTCTCCATATTGGCCAACAGAGAGCGAGTAGTTGCCTCGGATTCCTTTAGTTGCGAGACAATATCTGAGCTCTTCGAGTTCTGCATTCTCAAAGTTCGAACTTCCAACTCTCGTGCTTCCTTGCTTTTCATTGCAGCGAAATACTTTTGGTCAGCTTTCGACTTTTCCGCAGTCAACCGGGCGACCTTCTCTTCTAAAGCGCTGAAATCTGCAACCTTTTGCGAAGCCAACGAAGAGTACTTCTTGCAGGCGGTCTGCATCGACGTCAACTCAGTGTTGAGCATGGAATACTGGCGCTCCAGGTTCTGATATTTCGCACGAAGTTCTTCCAACGGGATATCCTCGACCTCTGTATGCGCGGCTTTTGTGTTGTCAAGTTGCAAGCGGAGCCTTTCTACCTCGGATTCTAGGGCAATAATCCGAGCCTGTGCAGCATCCGCAAGTTCTTGAATCTTAGTTGACGCAATTTTCTCCTGTTCTTGCGCAGCCTTCCGCATCTGCTGATCAGCCAAGAGCTCGTCACGGGCGTTCCGAATTCGGGCTAAGTCAGTCTCAGCTCGCATCAATTGCGCTTCCTTTTCGGCAATAACGTTCTGGGTTTCCTCATCCACCTGGTTGCGATATGCAGTCCGTTCAGATCGTAATTTTGCGGCCTCTTCACGTAGTTGTATGTTTGTTGCTTCCAGGTGGTTGATTCGTTTAACAACATCGTCGTATTGGGATCGCAATTGCTTAAATAAGTCCGTATGCGCATAATCATCGTCGGTGGGCTTTGTACGCTACATCAACACATCCAGTCAGCAGCAATTTGCACAGCTGACCATAAGCGCCTTACCTTGATATTCAATTCCGTAATCTGGCTAAGTAGATTTGCGTTCTCAGTCTCAAGTTTTTGCAACTGTTCCTTTTGCTTCTCCGAAACAGCCACAAGCTGTTTATGCGCTTCTTCCAATTCGGAATTGCGCTCGACGCTCGAGGGCACACCGTTGACAGGTGACTGTTCTTCCCGATTTCCGGATGCACTATCGCCGCCAGGTCGCTGAGCACCAAGGAGATACTGCTTCTCTAATTTGGCGACAGTCAAGCTTCGTGCGCGGTCGAGCTTCTTCTCAGCCACCATGTACCGTAGTGACGCTGCCTCCAGGCTTTCTTCCAGTTGCTGTTTTTCGGTCAAAGCTTTCTCAAGTTCAGCAATAGTACCTTTCTCTTCGGCCAATTTCTTCGCAAGTTGGGACTGCAAATCCGTAACCTCTGGGGGCGCATTTGTGGGCAAAGATTGCAACCGAGTAATAATGGCACGTATATCATCTGATCGGGCTTTGAGATGCTTCTCAAAGTCTTCCATATTTTCGAACAACAACGAACTTCGAAACGAAGGCCGATCTAGAAGAATATTAGTGAGATGATCTCAAGATAACGATCTAGCTAGGTTAGTGCCTACCTTTGTCTCCATCCGACGCGCCCATGAGAGATTTGACCTCATCAATTAACTATCGCAAGAACAGTGAGACTCTGCAGCTGCAAGAAAGAAGCGCGAGGATACTTACCTGGTTGAACCAGGCATCAATTACACGTAAATGATCATTATGGTAGGCCGTAGCTTTCGACATTTCCTTGAGTTTCGTCTCCAGAGACATCTTCTCACGTTTGTACTCTTGCATCTGCCGCCATATCGCATCTTTTTGAAATCGCTGTCACAGAGTGTAAGTCAGCATCAGAACCATTTCAGACTTCAGCTGAATTCTAAGTGGGCTAAAGAAAAAAATAGGCGCCCTGCTACAAACTGAAGGTTCAGTAACAAACGTGAGCAACTCACCTCTAGGTCGTCTTTCCAAGGCATATCGGCATCTGGGTGCGGTTTACTCCCACCATTGATAGAAGTGGCTTGCTTCTTCAATGGTGGAGCGGAATCATTGTGATCATGAGTAGCAGGTCTCTTCCGGTCTTCCATCTTGACGATACCGGACTCGGAACATGCGACGGGAGTTGCTTCGGTGGCCGGCATCAGTGGCTAGAAAGACATAAGTCGATGAAGGCCGTCACCACTGAACAGCAACCAGCCTGGAGCAATAACCGCAGCAGTACCCGCCCGTGTAGGTGACAACAAATTCTGAGTGACGTTGAAGGGCGTAGCCGTGCAGGTGGTTGTGATAAGCAAGACTTGGGAAGCCAGGAGGATTTTCGGCCTGGGAGGTTTAGCGTCGCCTAGCGCCTCCCACGTGACCGAGCCCACTTCCCCCCAGAGTTCAGACGAACTCCCGGCATCTAGTCTAGACTTCTGCATGTCGCCCTCTACCGTATATTCATTGGACCAACCATCCATCGCATCAGTTCTGTTATCGGCCTGGACTTTGATGGTTCCGTTTGTCTCCAGCGATGCTGAGCTGTGAGGATGAAATCTTTTTCGAGCTCTGTCATCAGTAAGTGTTGAATCCTGCTCCTACAACGTGCTGCATCGTCTGACCGCTTCCGTCTTCAGATAAGTCGGGCAAGAAATTTGCTCCAAAGGCGCCTGCCCGACGCGCCCCTCCGGCCCCCTCAGCCACCCCAGCACCACCGCGAAGACATAGTACCGCTTCACAAACATCTACTACTCAAAACACTCAACCAGCGTTAGATAAAATTCCTGCCGAGCCCGCGCCTCCTGCTACGGTCCCGGAGCCTTCTGTCCCATCTGCGGCTGATGTTGAATTACCCGTCACCGAGACGTCGGGCGCCCCGAAACCCGATTCAGCGCCATCCAAATCTGTGACAACCATCCCCGTTCCCGTTTCCAAGCGTAAGGCATCCTTCTCGGCTCCCACACGGCGCGTGGCTGTTGAAGAAGCGCCTGCGCCGTCTCAGTCTCTCGCGCATCATGACACTAATACCGAGCGCCTTCCCACCGATCTCGACGCGAATGGGCCTGAGAAACAAAGGGAAATTGTTCAAAGTATCGAAGATCCCCAAAACCTTGTGAGCCGCGATGACGCCTCAACACCTGCGGCTAGTTCTCAGCAACTTCCACCTGTTGAGACCGCTACAGAAATTCGCCCATCCAAGCGCTTGAAACTGACTCAAGAATCGTCGACAACATCCACCCGTCCTACTCTTTCACCATCCAATGCCATTACTCCCCCATCTACCCAACCCCCGGCGGTTGAAGAAACTACAGAAGTTACCGACGGAGCTGAATCGCAAGCAAATGCCGACCAGACCCGAAGAGCGTCGAAGTCGCGAGGCAGAAGGGCGAGTCGCGTCTCCAATTTTGAAGATGCCGCGGGAAAGGTGAAGAGGAAGCAACAGCGGTCTCGCAAAAAGCGCGAACCAACACCTGAAGGAGCGGATCTCATCGAAATCGCTCCAGCAGTTGTCAAAATGTCAGAATTGTGCAAGGATTTACGAACAGGGAGAATGTCTAAGCGGGAAACTGAATTGCGCAACATGGAGCTCGCTGAGCAGGAACGCAAGCGAGCTCAACAAGAGGAGGAGGGCCGAGCGCCAGTTTCTCTCAAACCGAGCGCGGACGCTACATCCCCAGGGGCGGAACCTGATATCGACCTCGACAAGAAGCCACAGGCCGGTCCTGTGATGCGAATCGTGAATGGAGAGATTGTGCTTGATGCCGCTTCCCTCCAGGTCGACCGTTACGCAGATGCGGCGAGAAATGCGGGGGAGCTGGAGGATGTGGTGGAAAGCTCGCTTACTCGGAAGATCAACCAAGCTACATGGGGAAAGCGGTCCAAGACAGAATCATGGGATGAAGAGATGACGGATTTATTTTACAGAGGCTTGCGAATGTTTGGTACCGATTTCATGATGATCAGCAAGCTGTTCCCTGGGCGGTCGAGACGTCAGATCAAGCTGAAATTCAACAACGAAGAGCGGCGCGCTCCAGAAAGAATCAAGGAAACACTGTTGGGTCCGCGGGAAACGATTGATATCACGACGTATTCCGAAATGACCAATACTGTGTATGATGACCCTAGAGTGGTTCAGCAAGAGTTGGATGAAGAGAAGAAACGGATTGAGGAACAACACGCAAAGGAAAAGCAGGCTCAGGTGGATTTGCTTCGAAATCCAGACGGCGCGACTGGTGGTGCTCTATTGGATAACGCCAATAACGTGCCCGTAAAGGGCAAACGAAACAACAAAAGACAGGCGATGAGAGCTATGGGAGGCGGAACCGAAGAAGTGATTGGCACGATTGATGACCTTCCTTGATTATTTAAGCGCTTTGCTGGTCGGAGTTTGGTAGGAATTCGGGGGGTGGGCGTTTAGGGCTGTATCTGTGTTGCATGGCTTTGAGATGGGATCACGATCACGGCCTGGTGCCTTTTCTGCTGTCTACCTGGGTGGCTCTTATCGGTGTTGCTTCTCGCTTCATGGGAGCTTGTAATATCATAACTAGGCTGTCCAACACATGCTAGGTTCGTCATGCAGCGTCTAGATAGGTTACGACAGTTGCGGTATTAGGGGCGAACGAATCAATTCATGTCCGCGATTCTAAGCATTATCTTCGTCTTGTTGAGCCGAATCCCGTACTCTCCGTGGTAGCTGAGAACCGAGGAGGGGAACGCGGCCGTGTGCTGCTTTCTCTCCGAGGCTCGTGGTCATCCCATCTTCTAGAAGATGACGGTCTGTCGCTATGCCGATTGCTTCTCCTACCCATCTCGTAGCCAGCCATGCCACCAGCCGCAGCACCGCTCCAAAAGCCCGGTCTCCACCCTGGCTGCGATGAGCACGAACTACTATCTGGGAAGCTGCTATATGGAGGAGGAGGCCCAGGATAAGGCCCATAGTCATTTCCTCCTCCACCTCCACCACCACCACCACCTCCTCCCCAAAATCCGCCCCAACCTCGTCCAACATTGGTCCTTCTTCGACGACCTCGCAGCCCAAAACATGAGCGGACCATAGGCCATAAAATCATAACGAGAACCGCAGCCCAGAACCCCAAGAAAATCAGGTCGACTAGAGCGTCCACGCCTCGGCGCCATCCTTTTGTCGCGCGCGGGATGGACCGCATGTCATCCTCTTGTATTTTGCCAAATCGCCTCTCTCCGCGCTCCGTCAACAGTAGCCGGTACTCGACACCACAGCTGCCCTTCAACACCCACTTGTCATCGGCATTTCGGTATCCCTCACAGATCACATCTGTTGCGCCCAGCATGAACTCCTCCGGAAGTGGCGCAGTACAAGTCCACTGGACATCTTCCTCGTCGTAGTCGTATCCAGCATTCGTGCATCGCATAGCCTCTATCTTGTACTTGTCACAGATGGTCTTTGAGGGTCCCACGCATTTCAGCTGTGGAATTGGGGAAACACGGCGAGAGGAGGTGAGACGATTGGCGCGGAGTGTCAGCGACTGTACTCGCGAGAGGAGTATGGCATTTGGCCCGGGCGGCGATTCCGAAGATCTGCCGTATGCGAGCCCTGGGGGAGCAAAGCATAGAAGCCATAGTAGCAGTGAGTTAATGGCTGGGTAGTACATTCTGCGAGCTAAATATTTCCGTTCTGTGGGGAGTATTTTGTAGTCGCAGGAGAAATCAGTTTTCAGGCATCTTAATTATGGGCACAAAGGCCAGGCAGAACCAGCCAGCTGGTAATATAGTACAGATTCTTAACGATCGAACATGGATGACTGCGAAAGCTCAACGTGTCCTTACACTGAGGCGTGAGCTCGTGGGTCATTTTGGAGTCCAATCGCGATATGGATGTGATAAGCAGCTGCTCCATCTTAGCTAGTGCCTTGGCCGAGGCCGACAGGGTCCGTCATTCGTCATTCTTTTTTGACCTTGAAAACGATCTTCCAAGTTCCAACACGTTGGAATCTTCAGTTGCAGTGTCGCTTGTTGTAGCAATGGGGTTATGGATAGTATCGGATAATATATACAGCAGCTGAAAATGTCTTCTCAGCTAAGTGCGATTGATCCGATTCCGTTGTTGATGTGATCCAAGACTGACAACACTGAACTAGACGACCCCACGCCTATCCCGGCTCCATCCTCGTACGTCGAGATCACCGTGCATTCTAAGGCGGCTGAATAGCTGACGAAGTAGGAGTAGTTTATCGTTTACACAAGGGTTCTTGCTGGGTCAGCTCTCCGTCGTCCTTCTCATTGCTGCCTTCATCAAGTTCTTCATCTTCGGCGAAGCACCGCCTCCGCCCTCTCGCGGCCTTTCTCATCGCTCGGCGACTCATCGGCGTTCCAATTCCATTTACAGCAGTGCACAGCATGATGGAAGCACAAGAACCTTGAGAGAAAAGCCATCTAACTCGAACGTCCTCCGTCCGGTACCGTCCTCCGCGACCAACACCCGCTCCATCCTGCGAAAGACCTACTACACTGCAATCCCCACCAATCCCACTTCGAAACATGGACGACACAGGATACACCATTCTTCACACCAGCCAGAATCGTTGGACTGGTTCAATGTTCTCATAGCTCAAACCATTGCTCAGTACAGACAAACGGCATATCTGCTGAAGGACTCCCCGACATCATCCATCCTCAGCTCGCTAACGGCGGCCCTGAATAACCCCGAGAAGAAGCCATCATTTATAGATAAAATTACTGTGACGGACATATCTCTGGGGGAGGAGTTTCCGATTTTCAGCAATTGTCGGATCATTGCTGTTGATGACCCAAATTCTGATGGTGGACGGCTTCAGGCGCTGATGGATGTCGACCTGAGCGATGACAACCTCTCCATCGCTATCGAGACGCAGCTGCTTCTCAATTATCCGAAGCCATGCTCCGCCATTCTTCCCGTGGCACTCTCCATTTCCGTTGTCCGCTTTTCCGGGACCCTTTGCATATCGCTCGTCCCCGCTTCCACACCTCCACTCGACACCCCCTCCCATTCTCCATCTCCCCCTACCGCTGGGACAACAACGAATGGACGCTCAAAGCGCGAAGATCAGACGGGTGGAAGTCACTCTCGCGCAGGTGGCTCCTCGGAGGAACCTAGCGGTGAAAATTCGCCGAAAACCAGCCCAAAGAGCAACGTTGCGTTTTCCTTTCTTCCAGACTATCGACTTGACCTCTCCGTGCGGTCGTTGATCGGCTCTCGTAGCAGACTCCAGGACGTCCCTAAAGTCGCTCAGTTAGTTGAAGCCCGTGTTCATGCATGGTTTGAGGAGCGTGTTGTCGAACCTCGGGTGCAGGTCGTGGGGCTGCCGGACCTCTGGCCTCGCATGGGCAGAACAGGCGTACGGACCGGCGATGATTCGGAAACGGGCTCTAATGCGCCGCGGAGTAGCACAGCGGCGGATGCCAGCGGGTCTGCCCGCCACGAGGACTCGTCTCGCGAACCAGAGGTGCTCAGGTTTGGATCACTATTGGGCACACGGCCGCCGTTTGACCTTGCTTCCCGAACGAGCAGCTTCAATGTTGAAACTGGAGACCTCCGCAGTCGCAGCATGACACGGGAGGAGAGCAGTGGTAACTTGAGCGATCAATTCCACATGCCTGGCTCTCTGCCAGGAGGTGGTGTAACTACAACTTGAGTCAATATTTTGACCGGTAGATTAAAAACATAAAAATAACATGTTTTTTATAAGTGCCTGAGAATCTCATAGTCGTTGTACGTGAAAGCGTCGTGATCTATCAAATTGATATGATATATACAAATCATCAGTTTGGAGCTAAAAGCACCAAAATCTTGCGGCAAGCCGCAGTCTGTCCCCCGTCAATCAACCATGCCCCTTGTCCATGCTGGCAATTAGCATCGAGTCATCAATGGAAAGTAAAATTTCTAAGCGACGGCCTTGTTCTGGACCGTGCGGAGGTAAGACTGCCGATGAGCGTTCTCATCAACATCAGGGCCCCGGTTCAAGGGGGTCCATTTAGGCTCTTCCTGGAAAAGGCGCATAGCCTTGACGTACTGTAAACGAAGCAGTCAGCAAGTTGGTACTCAACGTGTAGATAACATAAGCTCATGGAAACCAACATTCTTGTCGTCAGTCGTGAAACGATGGTAGATACCAGCAGGAAGAATGATCAAGTCATCCTTCGCCAACTTGATCCGGACCCATTCGTCCTCCTGGCCACGCACGTCAAAATAACCCTCGCCATCACGGATGTAGCGGATCTCCTCGTCCTCGTGCAGATGCTCATTGAAGAACATCTTCACCTTCTCCTCGTACACATCACCCATCGTCTGTGGCGAAACGACAATCTCATCGCGATTCTTGTACCCACGTTCCTTGGCCAATTCATTTACAGACTCAAGGGAGGGGAAATGGTAGTACTGGACTCCAATGGAGGCGAGGTAGTCCACCGTCACCGGGCGGCCGGAGTCATGGGGTTCCCGCTGGTCGCCCTATTCCACTCTCAGTCTCTACCTGATAAGAGAGGGAGTCATAGTGTCGGATAATGGAACCTACCGGTTTGTTGTCATACCAATAAGCCTTCATGGTGGAATGGTTTTCCCGTGTATGGCTGGCAACAGAGTATCTTTTGCGTTCGGATAGGAGTCAACAGGTCAACACACTCAACAAAGTATGTCTTACCCTATCAGCGCGAAGATATAGGAGATAGAAAACCCATATAAGGGCCTGCGGGGCATTGAAAAAGCAGCCCCGCAACTAGTGATCGCGCAAATCACGGGCAATATTGCTTATTTGCATTACGTCCGCTTTTCACCGCCTTCGGAAATAAATGGCAATAAGAAAATATAATCCACGTGATCCGGGTATCCGCCAGTATTTTTCCATGGCCTCAATGCAGTTTACTGTTCTGGTGTAGAGTCATCCTGGCTACAAAGCGGTCGTCATGGCTTTCCGGGCACGGTCAGTGGCTCTTTGGCGATGGGGCTCTGCTCCCCGGTCCCGTGTCATGGGCCTCACACGATGCATGGCCACGGTTTCTGATGGAACTCGGTATGGTTTTCCCAGCACCCTCATCCTAGTCGTCTCTGCACGGTACTGACTCTCGGCATGTAGTGCATACGATGTCGTCGTTATTGGAGGAGGCCACGCTGGTTCCGAGGCCTCTGCAGCAGCCGCTCGATCTGGCGCACGCACCGCATTAATTACGCCCTCGCTTTCGAACATTGGCGTTTGTTCATGCAATCCGAGTTTTGGAGGAATCGGGAAAGGAACAATGATCCGCGAAATCGATGCCATGGACGGTGTGGCGGGGCGGATCATTGACAAGGCTGGTATCATGTTTCGTATTCTCAATCGCTCCAAGGGACCTGCTGTATGGGGTCCGCGCGCTCAGATCGATCGCGATCTCTACAAGAAGTACATGCAGGAGGAGCTGGTCGCTACCGAGGGGCTGAGCATAGTGGAAGGCAAGGTTGCAGATATTGTGGTGTCAAAAGAAGGGGTGGAGAACATCCCGGGATCGCAGGGCAAAATTGTCGGAGTACGGCTCGAATCCGGAGAGGTAATACCTACTGGGCGCGTCGTCATCACAACCGGAACGTTTCTCGGTGGAGAAATACACATTGGGCTTGAAGCGTACCCTTCGGGGCGTATGGGTGAAGCGGCTACGTTTGGGCTCAGCAAATCCCTTCGCGAAGCGGGTTTCCAGCTTGGTCGTCTGAAGACCGGGACTCCTCCTCGTTTGGACATGAAAACGATCGATTTTTCGCCATTGGAGGTTCAGAGAGGCGACTCCCCTCCGCAGCCTTTTTCGTATCTTAACACGACGGTCGATGTTGGCGATGAAGGTCAGCTTACATGCTGGATGGCCCACACCAACGAGGCTTCACACCAGATAGTGCGCGCAAATCTTGACAAATCGATTCACATTCGCGAGACTGTGCGAGGGCCACGCTACTGCCCCTCACTGGAATCGAAGATTATACGATTTACGGATAAGAAACAGCACCAGATCTGGCTCGAACCGGAAGGATTCGCACCGAATGAGGTCATCTACCCGAACGGTATCTCGATGACTATTCCGGCTGACGCACAATATGCCCTGCTACGCACGGTGCGCGGTCTTGAGAACGTGCGCATGCTGCAGCCCGGCTACGGTGTGGAGTACGACTACATCGATCCCCGCAATCTCCGCCCGACTCTGGAGACAAAGCTGATCAGCGGCCTCTATCTTGCAGGCCAGATCAATGGAACAACCGGATATGAAGAAGCTGCAGGACAGGGGATCATTGCCGGTACGAACGCCGGTCTGTCTGCTCAAGGCCGACAGCCTTTCACTCTCACTCGGTCGGACGGATTTATCGGAATCATGATCGACGACCTCATCACAAAGGGAGTGTCCGAACCCTATCGTATGTTCACAGCACGAAGCGAATATCGCATCTCGACTCGCTCCGACAATGCGGATCTGCGACTCACACGTATGGCTCGTGACGCCGGAGTGGTCTCGGACAAGCGGTGGCGTTACTTCACCGACACAGAAGCGCAAATCAAGGAGTTGCAGACTCTCCTTGCCGACACAAAACTCTCCTCTACTGTGTGGTCGCGCAAAGGATTCAAAACTCGAACAGATAGCTCTGTCCGCTCGGCGCTCGACCTCCTCTGCCTCGACGGTGTGGACATCGACGCTTTGATCCCCCACATCGAATCGCCATCGGGCATTGCATATACACCCTCCTCATTCGACCCCATAATCCGAACCCGGGTCAGCATCGAAGGCCGCTACGCGCCTTATGTCAAGCGGCAGGAGGCAATGGCGAGGAAATTCCTGCAGGATGAGAGCCTCATCCTGCCTCCGGACTTGGACTACTCGAAGGTCCAGGGCATCAGTACCGAGGAAAGACAGGCTCTCGAGCGCGTCCGCCCTGTTAGTGTGGGAATGGCGAGGCGCATCGAAGGAGTCACGCCAGCCGGTGCTCTGCGGTTGCTGATGCACGTCCGCAGGGCCTTGGACACGAGCAAAGAATCACTCGATGCAGACGCGATTGAAGGCTCTGCGGAGAGCGTTTTGCGTGGATCTGTTTGAGAGTGCAGGATGCATTGTGATGTTCAATCATCTAGGAGGCTTGTACGATTAAGATTGGGTTTAACGTTCATTGGGAAACTGCATGGCGCATGGGATGGTATAGCGACTGGACTATTACTAGAGCTTGTTGATCTTTGCATTGCATATCGCATTATGGCATACTATACCAAGGTTATGTCTACTCAGTATACTCTCGGAGGCTTCGCCTCAACGACAACACATATCATGTATTCCTGATCTGCAAATTCTAACATATCCCTCTCTATCTACTATTCAAAAAGCAAAACAATAGACGAGGAGACTTAATCGTAATATGATTAAGTCGATGATCATAACCAACGTGGTGGGTAGAAACAGACTTTCCGCTGACCGGGGGACCATGACTCTTCTATGATGATCATCAGCTGTGATTATTTTATCCCGTCCAATTAACCAACCATTCGCTTACCCATACCCCCAATCTACGCCACGTATATAGCAGTCTAAATCTCACTTTTATTGCAATGTCAGCTTAGTTATCTATCTATCTCTCTATCTTTTCTTGACCTTGGACTCGCTCGTTTTTTTCTGCATAGTATTCCCACTCCCCAGCGTCTTATGTATATTCATTCACGCCGCAATTCTGCATTGATCGTCAGCGCATTACCAATCTTCCACAATAGTGATTGCTCTTGAACGTCTCTTGCACTGCGCTTATAAACTCTTTCTGGGGCGTCGCAGGTGCTAGCGCGTCGGGTGCGCAAACTTTCGCAGCCCCTGAGCGTCCGTATCTTGTGCGACAAGGTGCACTCGCTGGGAAAGGGCTCTCACTCAGCTTCGCCGGCGAAGGCGACTGCTCACCCTCATCTTTGCGCTCGCACCTCGACGACAATGTCAGTACCTCGGATATATTCGCGAGTGCGAACGCTACTGCTTGCACTATTTCTTGCCTCGGTCTTCACCTGGTCTTTCGCGCGATGGCGATCTGTTCCAGTCAAGTCAGGCGACAAAAATCCTTCCTACGTTGATAGCAACGGTGCTGGAGGCTTGCGTTCTGCCGATGGTCATATTCATTTCTGGCAGCAGTTCCAGCCACTTTTGGCCAAATACCAGCCGAAATGCGACCCGCCCACGCGACTCGGCAATGCGCCGTCTATACGGTTCGAGGAAGCGAAGCCGGAAGACCGACGGGAGTATCTGGACATGCTACCGGATGAAGTGGAGGCCATGAAGAACGCGCATACCGGGTTTGTCAGCGACATCAAGAACAACCCGCCGCAACTACACTATGTCCCCAACACAAGGGGCCTGGTCTCTACAGCAGGAGGTTCATACCTGCCTGTCCTGGTCATTTCTCTTCGCATGCTCCGGAACACAGGCTCAGAGCTTCCGGTAGAGGTCTTTTTGGCAAACGAAGAGGAGTATGAGGAGTATATATGCGATGTTGTTCTGCCGTCTCTGAATTCCCGCTGTGTGGTGCTGTCGCATATTCTCGATGCAGTCCCCAAGATCATGCAGATCGAGAAGTACCAGTTCAAGCTGTTTGCGATGATGTTCTCTTCTTTCGAAGAGATCCTCTTCTTGGACGCGGACGCCTTCCCGCTAGAGAAACCAGACATCCTCTTCACAAACGAGCCCTTCCGGTCGAAGAATATGGTCACATGGCCGGATTTCTGGGCCGACACCATCTCGTCATACTACTACCAAATCGCATCGAAGCCGATGCCCCCAAACACCATTCGCCAGTCGACCGAATCTGGCGAGCTGCTCCTCTCCAAGAAGACTCATTCGAAAACGCTTCTCCTGAGCACGTACTACAATTTTTGGGGCCCAGATTACTACTGGGCCCTGCTATCACAGGGCGCAGCAGGAGAAGGGGACAAAGAGACATTCGTCGCAGCCGCTCTGACAATGGACGAACCGTACTACCAAGTCAGCGAGCCCATCGTCGCTATGGGCCACCGCACCAAATCTGGCCTGGCCGGCTCCGCAATGGTCCAATTCGACCCTGTCGAGGACTACGCCCTGACACAGAAAGGGGAATGGCGCGTGCACGGCTCCAAAGCACCCGCGCCCCGCGCGTTCTTCGTCCACGCAAATTTCCCCAAGTTCAACCCCGCCACGGTCTTCGACGAGCAAGCCGTCAAGCCGACCTTCGAGGATGACGGCAGCTACACGCGCGCCTGGACGATTCCCGAAGAGGTGATTGGAAAGTTCCGCACGGATGTCGAGAAGCAGTTCTGGAGGGAGATCTTGTGGACGGCGTGCGAGCTCGAAACCAAGTTCCGGTCCTGGGAGGGCCGTGACGGGGTATGCCAGCGAGTCAAGGACTACTGGAACGCGATGTTTCCAACCCAGCAGGTCAAGCCTTGAACGATCATCCTGAAGGTTGACAACTCGAATCGGACCTTTGATGTATGAGGCCCTAACCGTGGAACAGGGACACGTTTCCATCTTTCCAGCATCCTAAGGTGGCCAGGAGGCGCCACTTCGTCGGTGACCAGGACTCTACTTTAGGGCATGGCCAAACTCTACGATATGGAGCGACGCTAATATTAAACCATACTCAAAGTATGTGCTTTCAGATGCACTAGGCGAGCAAACAATCTCGCCGGTTTTTACAAATGTGTAAACACTCGAAAGGCAATCAAGTTTGTCCTATATATTTGTTCTCATTGATCATTACCTTCTGCGAAATCACCATGCATCTATCGGCCATTTCATCAGCTGCTACATGATCTTCTCCCGCAGAGAAAAAGCTACGAGAAACCGAAAGACTCATGCTTAAGCACTTCGCTTCATTGGCAAATATCGAGTCACTACTGCCCCATTTTTATGTACATTAGCCGATCATATACACTCCAACAATGCAAATATTTACCACAACGTGCAGTAACCCATCAACCGAAACATAGGAGGCGACAGTATCCGGCTCTACTACGCCGACGCCATGCACTATTCTCTGAACCATCTATACACTATGCACAAAGTTCAAGAAGACTTCACTTCTTTCCGCTGGCTCTTGCAAGGCGCTTTTGTATTTCCTCCTTAGTGAGGATCTTTACTGCGTCTTTGGAAAAGACGTAACTGAGCCCAGACCAGATCGTAGTGGCTGCAACGAGGTACCTAGGTAGAAAGTTAGGATGCGATGCCAATAAATAGAGAATATTAATGAAAGGGGAAATGTGCCACAAAGAGAAGAATATGCAGAAGAAAATGATTTTGGAAAAAGCAAAAAACGTACAACAGCCGGGATTCGCTGGTGGTCACCCACCCAACTACTAACCGGCCGGCGTGTGGCTTAAGTACGGCTGAGCGGACGGGAAGCCCTGTTTTCCACACCCTATGGTCGTACGTGCTTGAATTGCACCTGACAGCAACCATATGCGCAGGGAGTTCGCATTCTCTTCCGAATTTCAAAAGAAATAAGGTGAAGATGATAATGACGGAAAAGAAAAGGATTCAGTGGCACTTACTGCAACGCCGTCATTCCTTCTCGGAGATTCCATGCGTCCAGGAATGCTTCTGGAATCACAGGCAATGCGATCGCAGAGCCCACAAGCACAAGCTGCAAAGCTGTGTTGACTTTGGAGATGCCCGTCGGCTTGACCTCTGCGGAGGGGAGGGAGAAATCCCAGTATCGTGCCATGGTCTTTGGTGGGGGGAGAGATATCCAGCGATAGTAAATTGCGGACAAGGCAAGACCAACATCACGACCGAGGATGATTACCGCAAGCCATACTGTTTCCAATCAGTGACTGCCAAGAAGAAATAGGAAAGATCCCCTTGTTCGATATTCGATGATACGACAACTGCATCATTAGAGGAAGAAGGAGCCCTACCAGGAATAGAACCATTGACGGCCAAGCAAGCAACACCAATCGTCATCAACAGTTTATCGGCCATTGGATCAATAATGGTACCAACGACAGTTTGCAGGTTATACCGTCGGGCAATATAGCCGTCCACAAGATCTGTGAGACCAGCATAGACAAATAATGATAGCGCAGCTGTATGATGATCATGAACGAGAAAGTAGCCCACCAAAGGAGCTGCAACTAGACGGGAAAATGTGAGGATATTGGGAACGGTGTAAATGTTCTCATGAGTAGGAATAGGAATCTTGGAAAGGATTGGAGACTTCTTCGGGCCGGATTGAGGTCTACACATGGTTAAAATCTCAACAACGGCACCGACAGGCGCAGATATCGATACTCACTTTTGAGAGGAGTTTTCCAATTGATCATCCGGCCTTTTTGAGCCTGAACATCTCCTCTGTTGATTAAGTGGTCCACATAGAGGCTCGATAGCACGGAACATGCAGCCTGTGGGTCTCGCGAACCTAGCAGACTATTAGGCTCCATGAAAGATCTAGCTGAAGAGGCCATGCACATACCTGTCTTGTATGCAACTAGGACGAGCTGGTAGAGTGGGTACCGTCAAAGTGTGTAGGTTCTTCCACCCGGGGCTTTGCCATCCTCTGCAGGCGGCGGATGTCGATCCGACTGGACGAAACATGGTTCCTCGCCATATGTTTGAGGATTGTCTGAGTGCTCGAATGGGCACCGGCAGGAGAGTATTAGTTGCCATAATGACCTTTGTCAATCAATGGCACAATAAATGGGATAAGCCAAATAGCAGAAGAAAGGCGCTTGGCAAAATATTGAGATCTGGTCAGGATTCAATGCATATGTCTCGGTTGGCGAATTTCCCTAACTCAAGACAGCCGCCGGGACAATAGCATAATCAATTAAGTCCGGCGTTTATGTGTTCGGCAAAAATATGCTGTCAACTGAAAACCCATATGCTGCGATGGGGTCAACGATCAAAAATGATGGACGGATTCGAAGATATGCACGATGACGGAACAAAAGTCAAGGCTCTCGTGGCAAATGTGAGCGTAACAAAAAGTGAGAGATGGCCCATGCAGGCGACGGGTTGGATAGTCGACAATATATCTCTTTGATATTGAAATTATTGTGATGACCGGAATATATGATGGCGGCTCAATCACCCGATTCCAAGCAATTCAACGGCGGTTTCGGACCAGAAGTTATACAGGCGACGGCGGGACCAGACAGCGGCCAACTACAGACCGTCTGGATCCCAGTTGAGCCCGAAAAACCGCACGAATGCTTGTGTCGCAATGAGGCAAGAAAATAGTTTCAATGTATACAATCGAGGCTCGTGACCACCTTTTTCTGTCTGGGGAAAGGAAAATGAGCACGGAGGAACTGTTGATCCGGCTCAGTCATGTGATTGTTCCCGAGGTTGTTGTACGTCGATCTGGGGTGAACCTTTGAGCGAACATGCCCATCTCGAACCATCCTCAGTATACTGGGATACCATGGACCTTCCTTCTTTGCTATTGTCTGAGACATTATCTGAATAGGCGTAAGATGGCAGTCAACAGCGGGAGTGGTGTAACCGCCTCATGTCTCAATACTGAAGTGCAAATCATAATGCATCTTGACACAAAACTAACGAGGGTCGAGATTGAGATAGAGTCATCCTGGCACAGTCAAGATAGGGTCAGTAGATGGAATAATAAATGGCTCGATAACGCTGTCCATGGCCCAGAGTTCCCATGGTTTGCTTGTTCTCCGGCATAGACATATAGAGAGAGATATGTACTTCGGATGTTCCCTGGTCACATCCAACATACAACAGTCATCTATACCATTCCCTAAATTTCCAAAGAATAGAATGTGTTTAAGAGTCATTAGCTCTCCCTCCACCTGACCTTTCAGGTCAACCAAGCAACACATTCACTGGCGCATTCACCACATCCATAGTAACACATCCGCTCGTCTCTCATCTGACTGTAGATCCCTTCTCACCTGACTCCTGCCATGAGCATCTGTCCACAAACTCGGTTTTCGCCTTCAAAATTGCCCAAGTAAGTCAAAAGCAGGGACTCTGCATCTGATACTCATTAATTTATCTCATAACTGGCGATGTTGGTATACAGCTGTTCGCGGATCATTTACTCCCATCGCCCATGGATCCACAAGCAACAAACGCGACCTCAAACATAGGACTTTGACACGAAGCAGCCATTTTTGGCTACTCGATACTACAAGAAGGAACCGGGAATGCCGATGATGAACGGTCCGGCGCCGCTGCCTCGCGACTCTGCCGTCCCTGGCAACAAGCAAAAGAAACTTGAGACCAGCAATCCAGAGTCCCAGATGACTGCAGACCCCAATCTGGCAAACCCACGACTGTTGCTCAACGGAGCCTGTATCTACGAGCGTCAATTACCAGGCGACGCATACATCACAGCGCATATCCAGCGACTGCAGCATGGATTCTACTCCAGCCCTGCCGTTTCCGACAAGGACTATGACCACGTAGACTTCCTGGGGATCAATTTTGTCTTTCACTCACCCAACACTTTGGCACATCGGTTCAAGGCGGCCACGATTCGAGCCTCTGTGCAGGGCACCCGTCACGTCGCTTCGTCGGACCATTACCCGAACGGCTACCCGCCGGGAAATCCGCGCTTCCTCATGCATGCACCACATCTGATCTACGGCGCTATATCGCCAGAGACACTGCAGTGGAACTACAGCTTGACCGGATCACTGGGAGTCGTTGACTTGCCGGTGATGGCCAGCCTCTCCCCCACTGGTGGTATTAATGGTCGATACAGACGCTATGAGATGATGAGAATCCAGGGATCGGTTCGGACTCTGAAGAGCCCACGAGGGCGGAGGTTCGATATCGAAGCCGGGGAAATTGTCTGGTCACTGGAGGAGAACAGTTTGCAGAGGTCGGGCCTGCCGCGGGAGTTCACTTTTGCCATGCTGATCCAGAAACCGCGCGCAGACAGCCGCATTGTTTTCTCCCTGGATATCGAGCCGACCCTGCAATCGTGGTACGGCAGCTACCCGGACTGGTGGCTATCGTTGCCCAAGTATCAGCCTCTGAGTCGACGGCCCGTGGACTTTAGAACAGAGGTTGGACAGCGCTTTGAGCCCGTTGCATCAAAGAAAGGATTCAATTTCGCGACTCTCGAAAGCTCATTTGATGACTATGTGAGCATGCCAGGGAAGAGATTCGCAACCGTTGTAAGTCTCAAACTCCAATGATAGGAACCAGAGTTGACGCAGACTACCACAGATCCCATCTGACGGAGGAGTGCTGCAAGAAGACGACGACACCCTTCAAGACACCAACCATGACCGCACCATAGTCGAGCCGATACGGGGGGTCGCAAGATTCGCATATCCCAATACCCTCGCCGGCGCAGCAGCAACAACAGCAACCTCAGCACCAGCGCCTAGCGAGCCGGCCCTCATCGCGCGCCGCAGAACCCTCATCTCGGACCCGAGCGCCCTAACAATTCACCTCCTGATGGACAACCAGATGGCCTCGCACCTGTCAAATCTGCGCGGGAGCCGTCCCTCACCCAAACTCACCACCCACAGTGACATTCATAATGGCTATAGCCCTGCCAAGCGGGATAAAGCCGATCGCCGAAAGTCCCCGAGGGCACTGGCAGCCACCACCAACCCAGCACCGCCTCAGCGCCGAACAACCCTCCGCAGGACAAGATCGCGAGAAGGACTAAATTTGAATCCGAATCAGGATCATCGTTATCCGGAACCGCGGCCCCAAGTATCCGACCGGCGTTTTCCCTGATGCACCTTTTTCTTTTCTCTCTTCTCAATATCAGAGCAGTTGCACACCCAGCGGCTCACATGACCGAGTGACGACGCGGGAGTCCGCATATCCATTCAGTCACATGAGGCGCAGCCCCATTCACATCCACATCCACACCAACTACCTTACGTACCTCGATTCGAATGAAATGGAATGATCACCTACTTAGGTACCTAAAGGTATCTACGTAAGGCACCCAGGTAGCCAAACGCATAACCCGGCCCCACCAATCAAGGTCCTTAAGTTGGGGTGGAGGGGCCCTTCTGATCCGCGTCTCCCGGGTCCAAGCACCCCTGATTCGCTGACCCAGGACCCGACGGGCTACCTGAATCGGCCCACCGGCGAATGATCTGCAACTGTAAGCAGGCTATGTCCTATGTCACGTACTGTACCCGTCATAGACAAGAGAAATAGATATCAAGTTCAGAATGTAGTTTCTGTTTCGCAGATTGATCTCTGGTAGTTTCAGTGGATGAGCCCATGGGTGAGGGATTGTTTCATTATGACTACCTAGACTAAGGTAGAGCTACACTGTACCATAGAATAGATACTGTGTGGACAGCGGATAGCGGACGGGTGGCCTAAAGCGGTGGATCTGACAATGGCCTATTCAATTTACCTCCCGAGTCTATCCTTGGAGAGTAAGAATGAAGGTTTTCTAGATTGCGGTCTAGTACACGCACTAAGCATCGTATTTCAACGTCGAACGAAGAAATACGGACGATCATGAAGCAGCAGTCAAGAGTCTGATAAGGAACTGACTGCCAAAAATCGAACATTGATGATGTAATCCATCCGTTCCCTCGAGATGTTACATGCAAGGAATGGAGACATGTCACGTAGCACCTTTGTTTCAGCACCAGGAATATGGGGCTGGGCGATTAATTGGACTATTGAAAGTATGATATAACCTCCGCGGGCAGACCAGAATACAACCGATCAGAGAAAAGGTAAAAGACATCAATGTGACCTGGCTTATAATCGGCCTGCGGGGATGCTCCCAGCTCTCGAATACACCTAGAGCCTCTCCGTAAAAAGAGCAATAAGGATATAATAGCTTAACAAAGCAGGAACGGGACTGGAAACGAAAACGAAGGGGAAAAAAAAATCAGATAGCCACCCAGACCGAACCACCCAAACCGCGACATTGCTCATAATCATGTAAAAGACGGTGCAACTGAACCCGAATGAAGGACCCTCCGAAGAAAAAGTGCAAGAGGAAAAAAAAAATAAAAATAAAAAATAAAGATCACAGTTGGCTAAGAACGAAAAGATTTTGGTGTCTCATATCGTCGTAGAAGACAACACAGCAAAACATGAAAGAGACAACCTCCGGTATCTTCTCTAAGAGCAGAATCCCATCCAAGGTAAACATCCATACCGTGCATGCAGGCATCTATCCCCAAATCGCCGCCCTCAGAGATATAATGTGAAGACAAAAGAAAAAGGGGTAATCATAGGAAGGGTGCACGAAAACAAATAAAAAGGAAGAATAAGGGAATATAGCCGGGTAGCGCGGCGAAGTTACATTTGCGGCTGAGCTGGAGCAGCCGTGGTCCATGTCGAGACAGGATAACTCGCATGCGCGGCCGGCGCCGTCGCTCCCATGTAATACTGTGGCCTGTCGCTTCCCGTATAGTAATGAGCAGGTATAGACTCCCGACGAGGGATACTAGGATCGAACGCTGGCGCAATGCCACGCTGCTCGGGGGGTTGGTGCGAGGGCCCATCCATGTGGCCCGAGAGACTGAAACTGTTCCCCCGAGAGAAGGTCGCTGGGGTGGAAGGATCGATCGGCGATGTCACGTCCGTGGCAACACTGCGCGACGAAATCGAGGAGTTTCGGTAAG